AATACACACTTTTAAGGTTGAATATAGAAGAATAAAATAGCGCGCAACAACTACAAGAAAACAGGAAGGAAAAATTATAAATGACATGAAATACAGACTCCTAAGGTTGAACATAAAAAAATCAGACGAGGGACAGCAATTACAAAAGAAGAAGAAGAAGAAAAAAGCGAGTAAACCAATCGAAAGTGAAAAAAGAAAAGGGGAAGCACAGAAAAGGACAAAGGAAAAAACGGAAGGGAAAACACTCATATCTATAAAACACAGAAATAAAAGGAATTCCTAAATACAAAAGACAAATGAGAAAAAGAAAAAAATATATGTAAGCACATATACGTGTATATTGCTGAGCTATAGGCAGGAAGATATCTTTGCGAGCAATGTTTATAAAAGGGAACAACCATTCTCAAAAACAAATCTTAATGAACATATAACACCAAATAAAGTAAAAAGAAAAAAATTAATCTGCTTGTAGATTTTTAAAATTATTCCCAGATCCAATATTTTCCCTGATAATTACAAATTCTGAATTCGGTAGAATTGTATATAACGACATTTATATCATATTTTGGATGCCATATTCCGAATGGATGACCCTCTCATTTGATTCTTATATTAACATTACATTATATTGGGTATAAAATGAATACAATGGTATCGTAGTGGAATAGGATGGATTAGGAAGAATTCACAATTATTTCATTATCATCGGGAAAATTTGAAACTGTTTCTTAGGAGTAAATAAATCCTACAGGGAATTATTCTTTCCTTTTTTTGTAGAAATAAACCTATTATGCGTAATAATCTGAACACCCAGACGACTAATTTGTGGTGTAATTTATTAAGAAGCCTCACATCTTACAAATCGGCGATGCATTATAAATTCTATTTTCTAATTATTGGGGGATGTGTAACGCCATATAAGCATCCTATACAGAACTTCTACTCTGTCAGGATTCTAATTAGGGGGCATATTCCTATCGATTTACATTCCGCTTATCGTAGCATATTTGCTGAAAAATATAGAACGAATTAACCAGGAAAAAAGAAAAAAAATACAGAATAGCAAATATATTCTTTTAACAGATTAAGTTAAGAATAATAATTTAATCCCTCCGTGATAATGCCAAAAATATTTTTCCATTGACGACCTTTTAGGAATAGGAGCTGCCTTGTAAAAGATGCTAAATTACGCAAATAATATAATGGAAAGGGAATTTTCATTTATCTTGATCTATTCTCATTTAATTTTATTTATCTCTATTTATTTCTATTTATTTTTATTTATTTTGATTTATTTTTATTTATCTGTACTTAACGCGTGCATTGCGTAGTAATCTTTTTCTTTTTTTCCAACTACTATTCTGCTCCTCTTATTAATGACACATTACATTTCCTAATTCTGAGCAATTAAAGATTGCATAATTGTACGACCCCATATGTCATAAGAAATATCTCTCAGGGGGGAACGAATTTTATATCATACCATACAATTCTTTCATAAGAAGCTAGCAGAAGAAATCGCAGAATTCAGCAATGTAACGCCTATATCAAATTCTTTTTATGACCATCCAAAGGGGCGTCTCCAATTATTCATTGCACAGGAGACACCCATTCTGCGGCAATGGGGAGAATAATTACTAATCTGAAAAATGCCTACCATAGTCCATCCCAAATGGCAGCAGTTCTAGGCTTAAAATGCTATAAATGAACCCGCATTTCGGCTTATAAGCTCCGTAGGATTTTTTTCTTTCAAAATTACACTTCCAGCGTCGGGAAGTGTTGACCTGTACCATTGTATCCTACAATAACGCATGGAATGCTCATGAGCCGAGTCAATGTTATCGAAAACAGGTAACCTGCATTAGTCCGTATTAATAAATGCTTAGTGTACTATAAAGAATGTTATCTTCCTTTGCATTCCGCAAGAATCTGTTCGATTTCTGGTATGAAGGAGAATTCCCTTTTTAGGGGCAATTACTCTGTAGAAAAAATAATTTCTAATTTGTACATTATCTGGGGCAGAATTATCCGGCTTCCCTGTGCATCTTGTCCATACAGGAACTGCTTTTGCGGCCTGTTGACCATCTGCATCTCGCCTTATAGTGCTGGTTTATTTGTCTTTATCTGTCTGCAAATTTCACACGTTTAACATAAATATAAAAACATTGGGAATGCATTCTAAAAGTGCAATATTGTATTTCTCCCCTATCCAAAAAATACGCTCCAAAGATGAGTTATGCAAAGCAAAGGCATAGCCGAAATCGTAGGCACCATAAGGAAAAAGTACTATGATAATAATAAAAACTATGTGGGGAATTTTTTCTATAAATATATGTAATGATATGTATGCATATCATTATGAAAATGTATGTTTTCTCTACAATCATAAGCCAATCATTACATGGTAAGTTCCGCAAACCCCACACCACACATGTCACAATATCTGCTTAAGTGTCTTACTATGGAAAATATGCTAAAAAGAAATCTTTCGCGATACCATTATAATAAATCAAATAATGCGGAACTTAAATAATACGTAGCTATACATTAAAATCTTGGGAAATATCTTTGAGGATATTCCCTGTTGTCTGTTCAAGTCTGCT